TTTCATAATTAAGTATCAGCATACACAAACATGTTTAGTAAAATCATTCTTAAATTAAAATTAAAAGAGAGAAATATATATCGAAAAATTTTTTTGTTACTAATACTGAGACCGCAGGTCACACAGACCTGTAGTCAGGACAAAGGCAACCCTAGCCTTCTGCCATTCATCTCTACGCAAAGCTCTGTCCTATCCATAAGGCAGTTAAACGCGCTCTGCTCTTAAACTAACCAGTTTAGGTTCTCAGCAAAACGAGCTCAAAGTTGAACTAAAGATGAGCATGTCGACGTCCAAACTAATGACTATCAGCACAAAATGAAAATGCAATAGAAAAATTAAATATTCTTTTGTTTTTCAAATACCTTGAATATACAGGACAATATTATAAAAGCATTTTCTTGTTCTAATAACAGTTAGAAACTAAAATAATATGCCATTACACTAATACAAACCAAACAACACAGCTCATCCAAGTCTACAAAAGATTATAATTTAAATGAGCAAACTTAAATGGGTGCTCAGAGCTACGTGTGACACTTAAACTACACAGAGCTAAATGGAATTTTAATGTAGAATGCAAATGTTGCACCTTTAATTAAATATGCATTTTATAAACTTTATATCACACACGTTTTCCAGGTATATAACACTAAAGTATTGTACTTACAGTATTGGTTTTATAACCATTTTAATTTTAAGAAGAAACTAATTTTTTGATTACAGTGTTTATTACATAGGTTTGCCCATTTTAGAAGGTCTCCTAGAATATTTATCTTGAGTCTGTTTACATACTGTATATTTGTTATTATAGGCTTTTAATACAGATTGCATAATGGGGCTTGAGATAATTGAATAAGCTAAACACTGACTGGAAATGGTGGACTAACCCCATCAACTGATATCTCCTCCACTCACATCTACTGACTGTGCAATCTGTGTAGTGAACCACTATCCTACTTGCATCTTGTATAGATTATTATCTCTCCTGTACTTTTACAAACGATAAATCCGGGAAGACTAAATAGTTTGTAATATATCTACATATATAAGTGTGTGAGAGCCAAGCTTCAGACACGAATCGGTAGGCTTGACTGGATAGATACCACGGCCTCGCTAAAACTGCTCTGAAATAACCACATCGTTGTGTTTCATCATCTGAGTGAGGTTACTGAGGGCCCATTCCTTCCTCTCCTTCCCTTCCCTCCATCCCTCCCCAATCCCTGACTCACCGAAACCCTAATCAGCAAAGGCCGACAAAACATTCGTAACTCCTCTGGTGTTATCGGCGCCCATGGCCGACTCTGATTGCTTACCATCAGGTAATCCTTCTACTCGTTTGATAACCAATCACATAAAATAATCATGAAAATTTACTAAATTTATTTGCACAAAAATACATCACATTTTCCACTCAGCACTATGACATACTCGTACATATATACAAAAGAAATTACACGTCAGTGACGTCATGGTCCAAATGACACGACTGAAAAAATAACGCGCACTCTGCTCAAAATAAAATAGTACGTATAAAGGAAAAACAATGGAACCAAACTCACCAGGAAAATTGGGAAATGGCTCTCGTATAAAGCCGGACAGTTGGTGACATGGTTAGGTTTAAAAAAAGGAATCAGTAATGACGAAAGTTTTAGCATTTTTCCAAAGTAGGTCCGTTTTTTTTTTGAGGGTGGATTTTCATCAAATTGCTTTTCCCACCCGGGAATGTGATATGGAGTTGGGGGTCGGGAGGCCGCAGTTGCACTTGCTCTCGCAACCCCGGCTGGACAGCGGATTGGGCCCCATTTAAAGGGGTGTAACGGTTCGATAGAATCTGTTTCTGGTTCGGCTACGAGTTACATGTTATCGCCGCTATCAATCCTGTGCTCACGGTGGTCAGAGATTGTCGGACGATCCCCGACGCCTGGAATGTCGCATGAGGTGTGAAGAGGATAGTTCCCTCAATATGTATGATTTTTCACTATGACTTGACTGCTAATTTGATCTAGTTGCATACGCACCACCAAATAAGCGTCGCATGGTTTCATTGCCCAGTAAATTGGGCTTTCCTTATAATTTTGTTCAGTCATATCAAGGAGCCGGGATACCTATATTAGGTATATTGTAACACCCCTTTGTCATCAGACTCATATCAGAAATCAGTCAAAGTGTAATTAAGTTGTTTTATGTGCACTACGCGGTTCTTTGTCTAGGCTTTCACGTCATAAATGTCATTGACATCGTTATTATCCACGTCTTACGAATAGATGTAAATAAAAATATATTCTCTTTGATACTGTATCGCTTAAACAGCTTCCTGCGATACAGAAAGAGCTATAAGACAAGCAAGTAATCTCCGGCCACAGTCCCTTACCGTGGCATATTTGCGATGCTTCCATCTTTCCAAGATAATTATGTAGCTTGAAGTCTCAACGTTCCCACGTGAGTGTACTTATACACTAATTAACACGTGACTCCTTTGTTAGTCGAGCAGCTCAAATACCTTTCACAATAGCTTGAGAGTTTTAGGATTTTAGGTCTTATATACAAACTGTACTATTTTACGAGAAACAGACTAAAATATCTGACAATCAACCAAAAGCTAGAAATTCAGTGAGCATCTGTGTGTTCCAAAAAGGTTGAAAAAAAGTTGGTCCTGTGTCTAAAGTAATCTTTAGTTATATGTCGTTAAGACGATACAATTTGGAAAGAGCTTTTAGCTTCATTGACGAACTGATTGACAGACTAGGTATTTATGGTTTAGTTAAATAAATATGATTTTGACTTGACTATTGACTTTGACTTGAAGATAATAATTATCCTATAGTTTTCAACACAGTCGACCACAGAAATTTTCATTATTTTGCAGACAAAAAAAAATCTAACTGAAAGCAATGTTTTCTACCGAGTTTTACCAAAAAAACTAATGATACTTATCGTTCAACTTACGCATAAGATTAAACTCACGTTGATTAAAGACAAAATTTCCGCAGCGTCCATGAAATATGATGCTTTCGTTACTTTACCATTTTACGAGGTGAGAGGAGCTCGTAAATTGAGGTTGTATAAATGAAAAGCTTGTGGTTTCCTCACTTCGCTACCATTATATAAATGGCCAGCATTACATCGAGCCTCAACGAGCACATATAACTACACACTATATATTTTCATTATAACTTTATATTTATTACATAAATGGACGTGTAATGTCTAGTTATTTGACCATGATTGTGTGTGCTTGGCATCAGAGCTCTTTTAACTGAACTGAGCTCTCCTGAGCTCACCCATGGGACAATGGCGTTACTTGTTCATTATATGTACCTACATTCTACATTAAATAACATCACATCATCTCAAACGCCTCTTCTCCCATGGAGAAGGTTTGAACATTAATCACCACGTTTGCTCAAGATGGATTGGCAATTTCAAACTTATAATTAGAATTTATAAATCCAGGTTTCCTTACGATGTTTTCCTTCACCGTTTGCCAGTGGTGTCTAAATAATCATAGAAAGTCCATATGACTCAGAAAAGACACATAGGTGCTTGCCAGGTTTCGAATCTGCACCCTCACGCATGAGAAGCAGGCGCGGCTTCCGAGTCAAGAATTTTAGTTTCATAAAAAAATATCTCAACTGACAACCCTATTAAGGTACGATAACTTTTTTAATTTTTAAAATCCAGCTTTAGTAATGTGGGAATACCTTTCTAAGTAATCTTGCTGGCAATCTTATGTATGATAGCAATTTCATGAAAGTCAGTGAGATAACCAATAAAGGACCGACGTTATTCCACTTCGCAACTCCTAGGGGTATCCGGACTCTGAGCAATATGTATAGAAAGGTATCAACCTCTTTGAGTAACTACCGGCGTATCAATATTTACTTTCAACTGGATATATGTTTATACAATGATATGGTCATGGTTCGGCAATTTAATCTCAACTACATTATATTGATAGATTGACACACATTTTGTTTAACGTTCGCTTACACCATGGGTAGTGATTATTTTTTATAGGATTTGGTGGTGAAAAACATCAAATGAATTCTCTCGCCCAGGGCCTGGCGGGAGGGAGTGTCAGACTCTTATTGACTAAAAACCCCCCTGTTCCTTCTCCTGCTCTGGGCCAAGGTCGCGGTGCCTCATTGCGCTTACCCTGCAACCCCGGCTGAACATAAGCCCTATAGGGCCCCGTCTGTGGTGGTCTATTGGGGATTAGGGTTTTGGAGATTGTAACTTTTGCCATGGACCTGGATGCCCACTCACTCATTTAGATGGTTGGTCAATAACATTGTAATGCTCGACTCTCGCTCGAAAATCTTATAGTTACAACTATACTATAGAAACGAGCTCGAGCGTAAAACTCCATAGTTACTATTTTTTTGTATGTACGTAATAATAATCGTTTCAAACGTTTAAATTACCAGAAATAAAATTAAAATTCATTTTTTTTTAATTCGGTATACATATTTTTGAAACAAATTGAATTGAATAATAAAAGATTTAAAATTGAATTTTAAACAGACAATCACTCGTACTTTCTATGAACATTTATTTTATTGGCATTGCAAATGAATAGTAAAATTGTTATTTATTGAATGTATTCTAACATACGATAACACTATACTGCGCAAGTCGACTTGTACATTATTAATGTGTCTTATGAAACTCGAAAACAAATTCATGAATTAAATATTGTATTGCGAGCTGTATAAAGTTATGAACTACACCTATAAATATTTACGGAAAGGCTTTTAACACCACAAGCCGTTATAATATAATATTTAGAATCATGCACGAACCCTATATAACATCCTGATGGCCGGGGTGGCACGGTTATATGTGCTTACTAAGATTATTATTTAGATACTTGTGACGTAAAGTGAAGGAAAACATCTTGAGGAAACCTTATTTGTAAGGGGAAAATGACAAAATCATCAAATGACTTCTTCCGCCCAGGTTGCGAGTTGTAAGTGTGGGAGAGCCACGCTTCGGCACGAATGGGTCGGCTCGGCCGGAGTGATACCACGGCCTCACAGAAAACCGGCGTGAAACAACCACAGCGTTGTGTTTCGCCGTGTGAGTGAGGTTACCGGAGACCCAATCCTTCCCCACTCCAAATCCCTCCTCAATCCCTAAATCTCCAAATCCCTAATCCCTAAAAGGTCGGCAACGCACTCGTAACTCCTCCGTTGCAGGTGTTCATGGCCGGCGCTGATTACTTACCATTAGGTAATCCGTCTGCTCGTTTGCCGATCTATTACATAAAAAAAAGGTTGGGCCCGAGGGAGTGTCAGACTCTAACTGACTAAAACTCCCCTGTTTATTTTTCTGCTTTAGACTTAGCCGCGGTGAGCTACTGCGCTTGCCCTCAACCCCGGCTGAAATTAGCCCTTAAGGCCTGCTCTGTAGTGGTATCTTGAGGAAACCCGGACTTAAAATTAATAATTATAAGTTTGTATCCGCCGTAGCAAGCGTGGCGATTCAGTGAGAAGACGCCTTTGCTCGGCATTGGGCACTTATCGACTGATGATATGACGATCCCTATACACTCATACTTTTCATTGCATCAAAAGGTTTTTGTAAAATGTATTTAGAACAAAGCAAAGCTTGGTTACATATTTCACTTTGTACTTGGAACATCTATAAAATTCTTAATAACGAGAGCAAAGAGCGATCGAATGGTAACTCCGCTTCGAGTTCAATCAAACACTAATAGACTATGTATCTAAGCGTATAAACATTGTTTGAGAATTGTTTTACCAACAATACGTCTGAAAGGTTGGTTGTTGGCTCTTCATTTCAAAAATGTGTCTTAAATCTTTGAGATTAATGTCGATTATCCATTCGAATTATTAGCAACAAATACTATGCATTCTAATAAATGATTGCATTCAGAATGTATCAAAGGTATCTTAAAAATGCCGTAGGAACGAAGCCAAGGTCATTACAGGAATTTAATCTTATTGCGTAATATCTAGATACATTTATTCGTTAATATTTATCTCGCTATTATAAATAATTCTATAAATATAATGTTATTAGAAAAGTTTTATAATTTATACGTTAGGGGACTTTTTAAGAGACTTGTGGGTTGATTTTTCAATTGTTAGATAAAAGTTAACTGCGGAATACTTATGATGCTGTTGCGTCAGAATGTTTGTAAAAGACAGTGACAGCAACAATTTTATTCCTCAGATAATATTTTTTTTTATGTAATAGGTCGGAAAACGAGGATTTGGATTACTTGATGTGAGCAATCAGCACCGCCCATGGACACCCGCAACGAAGGAGTTACGAGTGCGTTGCCGACCTTTTAGGGATTAGGGATTTGGAGATTTAGGGATTGAGGAGGGATTGGGGGAGGGTAAGGATGGTCCTCTGGTAACCTCACTCACACGACGAAACACAACGCTGTGGTTGTTTCACGCCGGTTTTCTGTGAGACCGTGGTCCGGTCGAGCCGACCCATTCGTACCGAAGCATGGCTCTCCCACAATTACGTGACTATTAAAAAATCAGCCCTAAGTCGTAAAAGAAATAACTTATACGACTTTTTGTTGTAATTGAATATTGTAGGCCATAATTATTTTGAGATAGACAGCAAATCGAAGATGTTGTCCAATAATTCTAGATAGGTTTTTATCTCATTATTTATTTTCCCCATTCGGTCGCCAGTACCGGGCCAATAAAACTAAATGAAGGGTCCCAACATTGCTGCCTTGTATAAAAAATACTTTAATAAAATAGATAGGTTCGTTCGTTACAATCGTACATAGTCGTGGTCATGTTATGTCTTTGGTGGCCTTTATTTACTATTAATTTTTGTGTGGGGAAATCATCATGTGACTCCCGTGTGAGTGTCAGACTCTTACTGACTAACCCCCCCCCCCCCCTCGCGTTCCATCTCCTGCTCTGGACGCCGTCGCCGTACCTCAGTGCGCTTACTCCGCAACCCCGGCTGAACATCTGCCCTATAGGGCCCCGTCGGTGGTGGTATATAGGCTCTTTGAGGCGCGCGCGGAACGCTACGCGCCCTACGCTCGGGTCTGGTTCTGGTCGGGCGGCGATGTCCTTGGCAGCTGCGCACTCCACAATTGAGCTAGTAATAGATGTTGAACTAGTAAACTAGATAGGTAGATACCAGATTATACAAGCAGCTATATATATTATTTCTCTAGGTGCTTTATGACATGTGTATTTATTGTCCAAATACGTTTGAATATTAGAACCATTTAAGATGTGGTAATAAAAATATGAGTGCACGATTGGCGCATTGGCTGGGCCACTGGCTACTGTGCAACGTGTCGTTTCGATTCCCGCACGGAACAACACTTTGTTGTGTGATCCACAAATCGTTGTTTCGGGTCTGGGTGTGTTGTGTATGTGAATTTGTATGTTTGTAAACGCACCCACGACACAGGAGAAAATCCTAGTGTAAGGCATTTTTAACTGAATAGATGCAATGAACGGGGTGGTTTCTAGTCAGTAAACATTCTTCTCCCGCCCAGGCCGAGAAAAGCCATATATTATGATCATTTTCGCCAAAAAACGTTAGTACAATAATTGGGAAATACTGGCCTAATTGAAAAAAAGTTTAACACGTTCCCTGTCCGCGTATAAAATCGTGATCATACCTACATGTCCACTTCAGATTTCGATTATAATTATTATCGGTCCAATTAATACAGTTTAGATGTTATTTATTTTTCATTTTTTTTTTGTTTTTTTTTTATTGGCCAAAAACTTAATGAGGTCAACCCCGATCTCACGGACGTGTCAGTATGAAATTAAGTGAGGTTAAGGTTGACCTCACTAGTCGTATGGACCGAAAATTGATCTTATTTCTTAAAAATGTCTATAGTTTTTACATAAACTGTGGTAATTTCGGTTTTTAAAAATAGCAACACACTAATTCAAGTATCTCTGTGAAAAAAAAACGGACGTTTTTGGGCATAACTTCTAAAAAAGTTTAAATTCAGTTTCATAGTTACGGTTTAAGTTGGATTTAACTTTCTAAACTAAGTTTTACTGTGTTACTGCAACATGGCTAAAGTGAAGGATGACAATATTATCAATATTTTAATGAATAGTGACAGTGAAACAGATGACGATAATTTTTGTTTTTCATACAATTAAAGTCTATTTATGATTTTTTTGTTTTATTTTAAAGGCCTCAAATCCAATTCAATTGATAAAAAAACGAATGTTTTTGCTTATCTATGGTCCACAGACTATTAACTTTTGATTTTCATCCGTTAATACTAAATTCTACTCACACGTTCAGAAAAAAAATCTAATTTCTCTTACGGGGTGTCGTGAGGTAAGAGTGACCTCATGCACGTGTCAGTAGAAGCCCCCAATGAGGTCAGGGTTAACCTCATGGACAGTGAACGTGTTAATAAAGAGATATCGCTTTACAAAACAATACAAAACGCCAACGGGAATGGGAATACAATTGAATAAGAATAAGTACCTAATTTAGTTACGAAGTAACCTCATCCGTCTCAGTTAAAATGTTGACGAATAAATTCGTAATGTACGGGGACAAAATAATATTGACAACCATTCCATTTCGAAAAGTTTATTGTATTAGTGCCATCTACACATACGTACTTCTGCCCATAAGGTTGTGTCGAGGTGGGCTCTTAACCAAAACCAATCCTAAATTTGTTTTTATTCAACCCAATTTTATTTGAGTATAGCCAATAAATTTCAGTTGACTACACAATAGAAAATACCAAGTTAGAAATACGTATATGGTGTCGAATCATATAATTCGCTTGTAGAATTACCTTCTGTCATTGCATTGTAATAAGCACATCTCTAAACAAGATATAAACCAAAACGCATCACAGACAAATCACAAACGATTTTAATATGAATAAAAATGTAGCCATTTTGTTGCAACATACATATTGGGTGCATTTGTGTGACTACAAAATATACATATGTAATTGTACTAATTATATAGTATAAGGGCTGACTTTTCTATGCATTGATAAAAGTTATCTAGACAATAATTATGATGCTGTCGCGTCAGAATGTTTGTATAAGACAGTGACAGCAACAATTTTATTACTCAGATAAAATTTTGTTTTCTCATTTTAGGACAGATTTTTCAGTCAGTTAGTCATATCTATTGAAAAACCTGCCCTAAAACTAGAAAGACATCAAATAAACACATCTCCATTTTAATGAACAAGCAAACTGCAGATAGTTACCCTGAACTGCTTCACAGAAACATTCCGTATTAATTTGCGGCAGTACGTATCAAAATTAGGCAAATTAAGTTCACTAGCTATATCGTTGTGTGGGCGATGCGGCGAGCAGCGCTGGCAAACAATAATTAACTAACTGTTTTGTCCACAGATCGCCAGTTCTTCCACAAATGGGCTCTGCTGACTGACCCTGATGACGTTGGAGCTGGTGCCAAGGGGTACCTGAAGTGTGACATTAGCGTCATTGGCAAGGGGGATGCGATCAAAGTGCCTCCGAAAAGTGAAAAGGATGAAGACGATATCGAGGCGTAAGTATTCTATTGACTGGAGTACCGTTTAGATATTCTGTAAATACTCATGTTTCGGAAATCGTATAGTCGTTGAACTTGAGCCTGACCTCGCTCAGGTCATGTTATACTGCCATATGTACCTTCGGGGTAAGAGATATATTTGTATTTACTTCTTTAAAAGTCGGTCTATTTAAACAAATTTATTTCCCTTTTCTCTTCATCACCTAAGGCAGCCGAGAAGCTTTATTATTCTATAGATAAAACCTCAGACTGAACTTCCTTTAAACAATGAGACCGCCACACACTTCCGACTACTAGTTTCACTTTTACTCTCTCTTTTTTGTAAAATTATAATAAATTACTTCAACGCACCCGCTACTCATTCATGAAAATGCAGGTTCGTAACCTGACCACCAATGTCTTTTCGACTTATATTTAATTTCTAAGTTTATTTAGACACCATTGAGTTACGCTTAAGGAAAACATGGTGAGGAAACTTGGACTTTATCATCCTTATCATCAGCCTGATCCCGATTACTGCTGGACATAGGCCTCCCCGATTGTTCCCATCCAACCACTGCCAGCCACCCCACGGATATCGTCAGTCCACCTAGCTGGACTTGGACTAATAATTTCTAATTATATTATTGCAATCGCCAATCCGCTTTGAGCAATCGTGGTGATTACCTAATGCTCAAACCTTGTCAGTGTAAGAAGAGGGCTTTGCTCAGTAGTGAGCACTTATGAATCAATAATGATGAAGAATTAATTACTCTAAATCCGCACAGTGCTTAATAACCTCATTTCAAAGTTAATTCATTATTCAGAGATCAATTATTATTTTACCAATTGGAATGTCGATGAATGAGAACCACTACATACATAAATCGACAAAAATGGACGTTTTACTAATAAATTAGCTCCAATACCTATACATTGATATAACACAAAATGCTTTAGAATTGTACATGTTTAGCAAAATAAGTGTGGGAGAGCCATTCTTCGGCATGAATGGGTCGGCTCAAATGGAGTGAGACCGGCGTAAAACAACCACAGCGTTGTGTTTCGCCGTTTGAGTGACCAGAGGCCCAGTACTTCCCCTCCCCAAATCCCTAAATCTCCATATCCCTAATCCCCAAAAAGTCGGCAATGCACTCGTAACTCCTCTGTTGGCGCGGGTGTCCATGGGTGGCGCTGATTGTTTACTATAAGGTAAACCGTCAGCTCGATTGCCGTCCTATCACATAAAATAATAGCAGATGCTAAAAACATCCCTTGACCCATTCCTTTATAAACAATAATAAAACAATATTGTTTCGCCCAAGCCCTTTGTATTTACGATGTCCTTGTAAAACTCCGAAAATGTTATTCGATAACGTCAGCCCAGTTTTCACAAAAACAGAGGACAAATTGGTTAAGAAAACTTTCTTTATCGAGAATTCCCTTTTCGTGTTGCGAAAAACGTATTTTATAGCAATAACAAAGGTACCTAAAGAAGGGTACTGGTATCGGAATATGGGTCAACCTCCACAGCTAGCGGTTTCCAGGGACCGACATTCTGCATTCGGATATTAAAATATAAAGAGACATATAAAGTACCTAATTTGATTGAGTGATATTCAATTTGATTTTAAAATATGTTAAGTGGTATAGGATTTGCAAAGTACAGCTATTCATATTTTGCCAAGTATTGCGTCCAAAGCTATAAGAATTTTGTTTCTGAGCAATCTATTTTATCAAAAAGAAAAACAACATGTTTCTGTAGCTGGTCTAATTGTTACAATAATGATCTCTTTAGACGTATCATCTAGTCGTCCAATTATAGTTAAGAATCATATTGAGTACTCTAATGTTTTTGACGCAATTTCACAGAAACCTGCTTCTACCTGAAGGCGTACCAATTGAACGTCAGCGCGCCAGATTCATTGTGACGATCCACAAAGCGGATGGTCTGCCCAAAATGAATTATTCACTTCTGGCTAATGTCAAGAGAGCATTCACTGGAGAAAGCCAGGACTTGGTGGACCCATACGTGCAAGTCTGCTTTGCAGGAATGACGGTAAGCTGTCTTTGTATCTTGATTTAAATCTAAGGACGATCTTTGCCTTATATTTAACCTGGTATGTCTTTTAGGGTTCGACGTCGGTACGCAAGAACTCATACACTCCAGTGTGGAATGAACAGATAGTATTCACGGAGATGTTCCCGCCCCTGTGCCAGCGTATCAAGCTGCAACTGCGGGACAATGTCCCGGTGAACCCCAACGTGATCGGAACACACTTCATCGATCTCAAAACTATTTCCAACGACGGAGACAGAGGTGAGAACGTAACGAAGTTACTTGCTGATCCAATACAATTTGTTCTTTGTCTTTTTGCACAATATTTCAATTACACCGGTGTCCCTGTAAGTGTTCTTTGAACTGTACAAGACGTCTGCTAAGATCACTTAAATAAATAGCTCCAGACGTTCACAAGATAGCTCACAATTCCTCTTTTTATGATTAACATTCGAAGAGAAACATTACTATGCTGCAGCAGACACCATTCACACATTAGGAAACTAATGAAAAATATCATTAAAATGGTCACCGTATTTTACCTAGACCTGTTTAAACATAAAACTTGTAACAATTGAATACAAGCCAGTGAACGCAACAATCAATATAAATAAACGTAACACAATAAAATATGCCTGCAGCCATTCATGTCATGTCAGGAACATGCAACAAACCTATGCTTTTGTTTTCGTTAGCAATGTAAATCGATAAATTTACGTATTATGTATTAAAAATACGGCGTAACAAAACGCGGTGTGTTTTACGACGGTGTTTTGCTAAGCCGAGTCGAGCCCACCATTCGTGCCAATGTTTGGGGTTCCTACACTTAAATGATGAAGACATATCTTACTGATATCATAAACGCGAAAGTTACGATGTTTGGATGCTGTTTCATACTCAATCATGCCAAAACGGTTGGACGGATCTGGATGAAATTCGGCACAGGCATAGGATACACTCCGAAATTGGATATAGGCTACTTTTACCAACATACCACGCGGGCGAAGCCGCAGGTAGAAGCTATTTCGTTTATAGTAATAGCCTAAACAGATACGACGTCTTGACATAACAAAGAGCGCAAGACACAAGCCACATGTTTGATGTACTTCCAGGCTTTCTGCCGACATTCGGGCCCGCCTACATCTACATGTACGGCTCCACCCGCGACTACAGCCTGCTGGATCAACACGCGGGCCTCAACATGGGCATGGGCGAAGGTGTCTCCTACAGAGGAAGGTAAGTCAATCACCATTTTTCCAAATTGTAGGATAAATGGGAAAGATTTATGATACGAAAAGTAATAGCAACATCACAATTCACTCATGGATTTCTTAAATATAGAAATTAAAATAAGCTCTATGCAAGGTGTTCAACATTTATTCTCTATACTTAGTTATCTTTATCGATGGTTTACAGCATGATACAAGAATTGCTTTAAGAACAAAAAAAGATGACGAATATAATATTTTATACTTCTTATTAAGTTACTAGTAAAGTTTATAATGCACCTAATACGCACCAGGTATTCTCAGGGATTAGATACACAATCCCAAAGCATTGCTGATAAAAACTGACTTTTATTTCCCAGTGGCATAAAGGAATAGCAAGCCGTATTACTGTAGCAGCGTCGACATTTTTCAATTAGTCTCCCTCGAAATTAGTCTTGTTTGCATAACCTCGTAAAGTGAACCAATTATGTTATTCATTACAGGCTCCTCGTGTCCATTCGAACGGAAATAATTGATGGCATTGAGTGCCCCCTATCGGATGTCGAGGTGGAACCGATTCCCCCAATCAACGAGTCAAGCTTCGAGAAGAATGAGGAGTTCTTCCTCTTCGCCAGCATCTTCGAAGCCAACATGATTGAAAAGCGTCTCACTGACAAGCCTCTACAGTTTGAACTGAGCCTTGGCAATTCTGGAAATTCGCTGGACGGACATAATGAGTCTGTTAAACGTCCACACGACTTGGACGGTGAACTAGGTACGGACGAAATGGACAAGATAAACTTTACCATTGATTAAATTTACATTTTACTTCGACAACATTCTACTTGACACACAAACTCACATATGTTTTAATTACTTATACACAACACTAATTCACACACACTGAATTTTTATATTTAACTACTTACCAATTTATGATTTGAATATTTGTAAAACATAGGCCATAGGGTTTTGATCTCTGTTAAGTTGAAAATACGTATCCTATTTCGCAACCTTATCTTCTATAGGTACTTATTGAGTGGATTCGCTTATTATAATGATTTGAGCTTAATTGTGTACATTATTTTAATAACTATCTAATTTTTGTACTTACCTATTTCTATTTTTATTTTTACTTTATTGATGCATGCAAAGAGGTTTTTGTAGATTTCTTTAAATAAACATTTTCTCTCTCTCTTATATTCTTTTTTTCTTAATTATTTTTCCTCAGGATTTAACGCTTATCGCTGAAATAATTTTGGTTTAATAAGTTTTAAACTGACACGAAAAATAAGGTAAAGGACAATCAAATTAATTGATGTAGTGTAAATATAAACACTAGAACTGTGCACTTGAGAGTTCATTATTTAGTTTTCTGCGTAATCACATCTATACATTTTATAATTATTTTCGTGTTAGTGCACATCGCACTCACGCACACGTCAAACTTTGGAACCACCACACATCGAAATTTCATCTTTCATACTTCAGTAACGAAGTGCATTTATACCATTTTTGTTACAACCATGTCATTTTTATCGGCGTGCTCTAATTTTCATGTATTTCAATATAGATGAACTTTGCGCTGACACGGGGTACTGGCAGAGTACGACGCAACCAACGAAAGCAGCGTCCACGGACAAGAATTACTACTACCTCCCTTACTGGGACCACAAACAATGCATGCACATTCGCAGCATTTGGCCAGACCATCGTCGAAGAATGTACAACTCCAACATGATCGCTAATATCATAGAAAAATATGTAAGTTGGCCAATACATGTATATATACACTTATGTATATAATATATATACCTCTATAGTAAGGACTGTGGTAAGGACCTCCTACAATCCACTACGAGCATCATTCTGTTTGACAACGACCCTCCTCTAGAGGGACATCTCATCATATCCATGCGTTGCAGGCGTAAAAGATTCAGGTTTGTCAGACAGCGACGGCGAGATTACCCCTGTCTCCTTCGTCCTTTATTAGATAGTAACTGAAAATATATTTCATTCTGCCTTCACCACACGGTACCCAATCAATTCTTTTGTTGATTGTTGTCGTATTAAAAAATACACATCTAATAATTCGGACAAGAAAATCTTGCAAACATAAACAATAAAATATCTTAACTTCCATGTTTGATAAATTCCAGGAGGAAGGCTTATCTGATGCTCAAGCCGCGATCGATGCGGAGATACACCCAGACAGTACAAGCGTGATGATGCTCAAGAGTACACTGGAGAGCCTCAGTACTGCTTGCACCGCCTATGTCCGTCACATGGCCAACGCGCCACCTCTAGGCCATACTAAGCTGGACAAGGAACGACAGAAACTCTGCGTCTACGAAATTGTAAGATGTTTCAACGATTACCTAGATAAAGATGGACATCAAAAATGACTGAATGTACCACCACTACTTTCATATGACTACACCAAATCGTTATTTTATGTTATGACTGGGTTTACATAAAAGGAAAACATATTAAGTTCTACAGGAATATCAGAAAATAGCGCCCGAACGACCATGAAGTGGGCTACTTTACATTAATTCTGATATTAGGCACATTTAAAATTATTCCTTGAAAGTTTAGGATAGTTCAATTCGACAATGTCAATTCTACCTAGTAGCCATCCCAATAATGCTAAGCTTATTGTTTGAAAATATTGTTAATATAGTCTGAATTTTAATCTACTAGTGATTTTAGCAGATACTTCTTTTTAAATAAATCTATTTTGCTACAGGAACAAATTGCTTCCATGGCAAAAAGCCTGAGGGCTTTGATCACAAAACACTCAATCAAGGAGCGGCTGCGCACCGCTTACTCTTACCTGAGCATGCTGAAACATCTATGTGAAGATGTAAGTATCGACAATTTATTATCTGGGAATCATTGGTATAATAGATTCATAATTTTGTTAAATAGCATCATGTACATAAACGGTCTTAAAGTTTTCATCTCTATTTCAATTGATATAATCCTCACCATCACCTCTATGTGTCACCAGTTAGTAATCTTGATTGTTACTATTCCAGGCCCAGCACGCATTGCCAGATATATTCATTTGGCTGATTAGCAACGGCAAGCGTCTGGCGTACCAGCGCATCCCTGCCAGGGATATCATTTACTCTGACTTCGCAGAAGAATCTGGAAAATACTGCGGCAAGATGCAAACTCTTTTCCTCAAGGCAAGCCCTAATTTTAATCAAGCTTTTTTCTGAAATATAACAAATTTTATAACAAAATTCCTCTAGAAAGCATATCTTTTTATTTATGTTCATTGTTCATTATAATTTATGTATATTGTCAAATGAAATATTACAGTGGCCAGGCAAAAAGTCAGCATCGCCTAGTGGATGGTCTATACCAGCTAAGATCACTGTCTATCTCTGGCTGGGTATATTGCAACACAAGAAACATTACATAGACGGCCTACCTCAGGGTTATGAAGTTACCTCCGAACTCCGCAATGCTGATAAACTACGATCTAATGCTCCATCGGCAATATTTTATGCTGAAAAACACGTAAGTTTATTTCTATTCAATGAGCTATCTCGTTGAAATATGTAAAGCTTACTAATACTGTTCATTTTTTCAGAATTTTCAAATGCGAGCTTATGTGTACCAAGCCCGGTCGTTGATTGGATCCGATTCGTCTGGTCTCTCCGATCCATTTGCACGCATTGTGATTGGAGAAAGTAGCGCGACTACACAAGTCATTGACGAAACTTTGAGCCCAACTTGGGACGAACTACTTGTCTTCGATGATGTACTGCTCTACAGCACAATTGAACGTATCAAGGCTGATCCCCCAACGATAGTCATAGAAATTTTTGACCAAGATAAAGTTGGCAAGTCCGAGTTCATTGGCCGGACTTTGGCTAAACCACGCATAAAATCATACGAAGATGTCCAAGGTGGCTCACAGAGTGCACCGTCTTTGGAATGGCACGAGATCACACGTGGAGACGATCGAGCTGGAGAGTTGCTGGCTACATTCGAGCTACTCGAAATACCACCGAAACAAGATTCATCCATACTTCCTAATCTACCTTCACCAAGGGAAGCCAACGGAAAGCCACCTATTGATACAAATAAAGGCCCAATACTTCCCGTACCTAGAGGCATTCGCCCAACACTGTCCAAATATCGCATTGAAGTACTATTCTGGGGCTTGCGCGATTTGAAACGTGTTCACCTCTTGACAGTGGATCGACCTCGCGTCGACATTGAGTGTGCGGGTAACATACTGTACTCATCAGTCATACAGAATGCGAAACGTAATCCCAACTTTACAAACCCCATCAGGTTTGTTGACGTAGAACTTCCGGAACAAGACCTGTACAGACCACCCCTGACCATTCGTGTGGTTGATTGTCGCAGCTTTGGGCGTATTACATTGGTGGGCACCCACACAATTAATTCTATCCATAAGTACATTTACACTCCAATGAGCAAACGCGAGAGGGACATTGAAGAGAGGAAAAAATCTTTGATTCCATTACAAAATGTTGATTTGCGAGCCAACTGTATAGTACCGGATGATACTTTTACAATTGAGAACGAGAAAGAAAGCTGTCCATTGCTGACACGCGAAGGTAGGGGTGCTGTCTCTTATGGCTCAGGAATAAAGCCTCAAGTGATGCGCAAAAAATTCACCAAACGTGAGTCGATGAAGAAAAGGAAAACCAGCACCGATTCTGCTCTTGATGACGATGAGGGCAACAAAGATTGGTGGACCAAGTACTTTGCATCTATAGAATCAATGATTGAAGAAGAGAAAGAGGCTAAAAAGGAGAGACAGGGCTTCTTGCAGCCGTCTCAAGCGCATTGCTCGTCAGACTTGCGTTCACCGAGATCCGAAGATATACACTCGCCGAAATCTAGTCGTGAGAGGGATAGAGACAGAGAACGTAACAGAAGGAGACAGCCAACGTCACCGAAACCAAAAGTTAGTCCAACGCTGAAAAAGAATGAAATTCCTCGTTCGGCACTGGCTAAGGTAGGTATGACGTGACATGACCGACATGCTTAAAATAGAAAGTAGGTCGATTTTAAATACGTTTTAAAAATATAAATATGCACAATATTTTAATCCTAATGTGTATAATTTATTATTTTCTCTAGATATACCCGCATGAGCTGGAAGCTGTGCCCGAATACGATGAATTCAAGGAATGGTTGCATTCCTTTGAACTATACAGGGGAAAGAAAACAGGTGACGACTCCGAAGATGAGAACAGAGTTGTTGGTGTATTCAAAGTAAGTATTGTAAAACGTTTTGTCTCATTAAAAATGACAAACCTGGATCCTAATAATGTGTTTTTTCTTCAGGGTGCTATTAAAGTATACAAATGGCCTCTTCCACGAGGGGTCGATGAACATAATGCGACGGGATATGATCCCAATTTTAGGTTTTTCCAAGGTGTTCCCAATAATGAACCAATTCATGTACTTGTACGCGTGTATATAGTTAAGGCCACAGACTTGCATCCAATGGATCTTAATGGTAAAGCTGATCCATATATAGTACTTCATCTGGGATCAAAAAGGATCAGCGATAAAGAGAATTATGTATCCAAACAACTGAATCCTGTTTTCGGTAAATGTTTCGAAATCGAGGCAACATTCCCACAAGATTCACTGCTGACTATCCAAGTTCTGGATTGGGATCTACTCGGAGCTGACGACCTCATTGGAGAAACGAAAATTGATTTGGAAAATCGGTTTTACAGCCGACATCGGGCTACTTGTGGACTGCCCATGAAGTACGAAGAGTAAGTATACCAAAAGCATGATAAGGCGATTTGAACGCTATTTGTAAAATATCATACAAAAGCATAAAGGAATAACAATTTAACAGGCCCCTAAATTTTGCCTTAACATTTCATTAAGTGTGTGAATATAATTGTTACCAAACTACGCAGAAATAAATTAATAATTATTATTTTCAGACAAGGCTACAACCGCTGGCGCGATGCTATGAAGCCAACACAGATTCTAGCCAAACTTTGCAAAGACGGAAAATTGGACCCTCCGATCTACGAATACGGTCGAGTTAAGATTGGACGTACGGTCTTCAACATGCAAATGGAGGACACGGAACTGTTCTCAAATCCTGACACTGTAGAGGAACAAATGGCTTTACTGGTACTCCGTCGATGGCAGGAGGTCCCGAGGGTGGGAACTAGACTGGTGACAGAACACGTTGAGACGCGACCCCTCTACAATCCAAGTAAACCAGGTATGAACAATGTCATTGAGAGATTTGCTAGTGTTTTGAACGCATAGAATAATTTTAACATAGGTCGGCAAACTAGCTGACGGATTACCTGGTGGTAAGCAATCAGCGCCACCCATAAACTCCTACAAGTGTGTTACTACTACAAGTGATTTAAGGATAGGCGATTTGAGGATTGACGATGCTTCCCCTCTCCCCCCCCCCCTCCAGGGACAGTCACACTTCAAATAAAAATGTTATTAAATGTTTTACAAAAAAAAATTGGTTTCACGAAAATCGTAATAGCTTAAAAACATGTTGAACTGCAATATAAAGCATTACCTATAACCATGGACTGTCACTAAAAAAGATGCCTTAAAAATTTGAAATGTTTTACTCCTTGAGGCTACGGACATGCATGGCACGGGTTACTAACTAAAACATAAAACTATTAAATCAATTCCAGGCATTGAACAAGGGCGCCTGCAGATGTGGGTGGACATGTTCCCTATGGACATGCCTCTACCCGGCCCTCCTATGGATATATCTGCTCGCAAGCCCAAGTCCTACGAAATGAGGGTCATTATATGGAATACTGATGATGTCGTACTGGAGGACGACGCCTTCTTTACTGGCGAAAAGATGTCCGATATTTACGTGAAAGGGTAAATATTTTTATACGTGTTTTTAAGGGTTGTGTTCAGCAACTCATGTTTTGTGGCTGATTTTATGAAGATGATGATGATTTTGATGATATAAAAATGTCATAGAGGCTAGAGGTTTAAACCTGAACTCTCTAAGGGGGGCATAGGTTAAAAACCTGTCAAATAGGTACTAATGTAACTTTTTCTAATATTAGTAACAGACTGTTGACAAAGGGTAAAAGACAATTAGGTACGTGAGGAAACCTTTGTTCACAAGTGGATGTGTTGTAGTTGTGCTTTATATGATGATGACAACGATGAGATAACATGGTTACTTTTTCACTATTATGTATTACTTTTCCATCTCAATGTAATCTCAAGAAAATTAATTTGTGGTTAATAACCTTGAACAAATAAGGATGGTATTAATCATACATGTTTAATTACACGTGTGCATTGCAAATAAGAAAACATATTCCTTTAGCTAAAACATTTACACCCGGTTTCTGAAAGGCTTGTCAACGCTAAAATTAACTAATCTCCTGATAAATCTCTTGTCAAGTCATCTGATTGGTTGTTGATAATTCAGTCAACCAATCAGATGACTTGACAAGAGATTAAATTGATTTTAAAATTGGTCGGTCTTTCGGAAACCGGGTGATAGTATACGAGAAAGGATTCAACCGTTTAAGTGCTTATTTAATTACAATTTACAGGTGGGTCAAAGGTCCAGACGACTGCCAGTCAACTGACATACACTACCGCTCACTGACTGGCGAGGGTAATTTCAACTGGCGCTTCATTTACCCATTCGATTACTTGGAAGCTGAGGAGCGCATCGTGATATCCCGTAAGGAATCTGTCTTCTCATGGGATGAAACCGAATGCAAGATACCAGCGCGACTCGAACTACAAGTGTGGGATGCAGATCACTTTTCTGCGGATGACTTTTTAGGTGAGAAAGTATATATCACTCCTGTCCTGTCTCCTGATTCGGGAAACTATTCTAACTTGTGATTTAATTATTTACTAAAATTAATTATTACGTCCGCCAAATATACAACCTATGTGTTAAACCACGGCACCATTTTCAACTAATTTGGTTTAGCCGTTTTCACATACTTTCTTACAAACTATCACATCTAGGATTCCAATTAAAATAACAATAAATCTGTTACATTTCAGGCGCCATAACTCTAGATTTAAGCCGATTCCCACGTGGTGCTAAATCCTCAAAACTATGTACGCTAGATATGCTTCAATATGATGGCTCAGTTCCGATGGTCAATATATTTAAGCAAAAACGCGTTAAGGGATGGTGGCCCTTCTACATCAAACGCGATACGGAGGAAATGGAGCTGACTGGGAAAGTAGAGGCCGAAATCCATCTCTTAACGCGTGAGGAAGCTGACAAGGTTCCTGCTGGCCTTGGACGCAATGAACCTGACCCCCTGGAGAAACCTAAGTATGTATTTGACCATTACTAAGGCCTTTTTGCAATTTTTTAGCATGATGTCTAGAATAATCCAACTGGCCAAGTAGAATAATCGTCGACTCTATATTCGAGTGATAACTAGGCTGATAAAAATCTGTACATGTCAACTCCCTTACCCAATTATTTTGTCACCGAAACTATGCCTTCTAATCTATATGGAACCTCCCCATTTACAGAAAAGCATAGTCCTTGATCGATATAATTAAATTCCCTCTATGTCTTAAGTCTTTTATTTTTATAATGTTAATGTTGTTTCCACAGTCGACCAGACGCATCGTTTATGTGGTTCCTGAACCCACTCAAATCGATCCGCTACATCGTCTGGCACAACTACAAGTGGACCATATTAAAGGCTTCCATCATCATCCTGCTGACTCTCATGATACTGCTGCTGGTGTACGCTGTACCCGGATACACCGTCAAGAAACTTCTAGGAGCTTAAATTATACAAAAATACAGCTGATACTTCAAAATATTCCGACTAGATTAGGTTTCAATTTATGTCTATATAAATGTGCAAAAATGATAAAAAAATCAATAAAAAATATTTTAATTCTTGTCACATTTAACCACTTAAATAGAACCATAGATATGTAATCAAAAATAATACTACTATTGTCTTAGGAATAGATTCAAGAAATTATTTTTAATATTATATTTTGATGGTACTATATTTTCTTAAAATAATATTTTCAACTACTATATCGTATAAAGTTCTTTAAATACAATGTAGTCCAGTGCAGATGACGTATAAATTACGAGCAATCCGAGGTCGAGAAATTGATGGGTGTGCGTTCTAAACAGTAAAACGGTGTATTAGTATCTTCAAAATAACAATATCTCCTATGGTTAAAAGTTTAATGAAGAATTTGTACATAATATAAAGTATAATTATCCTTTTGACCTTATTTTGATTTACAATTCAAATTACCGTTTATTTTTCAGGTTTTTTCACAAATTATTTTTAAAGTTCTAATAAAATATATTATTTATATATTGCCTTTTATGCAACTGCGAACTCTTCATAATTTTATTTATTTATGAACAGTGAAAACTTTGACAGCAAACTATTAAAATTCAATAAATTATTTTATGTGAATAAAAGTGTAAACAAATTAATTAGGAAGTTTTTGGTATCTCCAATTTTACTTTAGAACGATACAATTTAAGTATTTATATTATCATTCGATGGCAAACTTGTGGATAACCAAAAAACGAATAGTTTTTAGGAAAAAACAGAAAAACCATTTTGTTCTAAAAACACACACTTTTCCTACACCCAACTTCGATCGCTCGCTCTTGAATAATTTTTAGAGACTTTTGGCCAGACTACCTTCTCTATCCAAAAGGTATTCCTACCAAATTTTACTAATTTATTTTACGTTTTTTTAAATTATCTGCACCGGTCTAATACTTGTATCTACAAATAATGTCAGACTGTCTAAACTCTATCTACCGCCTACTAAATTAATCCTACTGTGAAATATTCCTTTCATTTCTCAGTTTTATTACCTACATTTACACAAGAATCTATGTATATGTTTTAAGATGACTGTTTTAAGATACCATTATCAATAATGTTCTCCTTGGCTACCTAAATGAGGTAGTCAGTCTTGTAAATGTCGCTGACAATAAGTCAACAAATTCCAGGTCACATTCCAGTCAATCCTGGATTCACATATAAGATACGAATTTATACCAGGGATGATTGTACCTTCACCTCCAAGGCTCAATTTCAGTTTTAGAAAAGTTACAATCAAAAATATAGGCACATTAATCTAGCCCTATCACTAATTGTCGGCGATACAATACTTATTATAACAAAAAAAAAACAATCCATATTTATCGAAGTATGAACATATTTAACCAAAGAAATATTATTTAACTCCGTAGAAATAGAACCACGTTTTAACCAAATATCTATGTGTTAGAGAGCACTCAATGTTACATTTTTAATCTTTAATTGTACCACAATGTTTCATATTCATTGCAATTGCAATTACAGTTTGTATTATAGAAGGTTGTTGCACAATAGTCATGAGGTTTGTTATGGAAGTTTGTAATTGTTTGAAAAAAAAAGTAGGCACAAACAATTAAAAAAAAATGTATAGCAATCTGATCTCTGGAACCCGCAATCAGTATCCCAATGGTACAAGCTGAAATACCTCCTTAAAATTTGTTCTAAAATAAGTTTAGCTAAAAGTAATTCTTATTTTAAAAAAATACCTATTTCGAAACGACCTTAGAAATATCTTCCATAACATTCCTTAGAGATCTTCTCAGATCCACACACACAAACAAACATGATTATTGCTTAAGAGAATTTTACTTTCAATGCATGTATAACAATTAAAATATAGCCATAATATATCAATGTTCAATGTCTAAAATAGTCATTTAAAAATAACTTTAACTGTCAAATATTAAACAATGCATATCGTATGTGTTCACATATCAAAACGAAACAGAACCAATTGAAAAACTTGACAGATGAAGTAATTTTAAATAATTACTTATATGTGTGTATTCAATTATATTAACATTCATGTAACAGTTATTTAATCAATTCAACAATATACTGTAGTTTAGCTGTAAGGAAATTGGTGTTTCATTTAAGCCCCTTCAATATTATTACCCTTACAAGTTGATTTGCTCTCTGGGTCAAGGTCAAGGATTGGATGATGATTGGATGGCAAACGAGCAGACGGATTATCTGATCGTGAGCAATCGGCTCCGCTCATGGATACCCACAACTCCAGAGGATTTCAAGTGCGCTGCTTTTAAATGATAAAGGTTTCGGAGATTTAGATTTATTAAAATTTAAAATAAGTATATGAATCTTGCTAATTGCGAATCAGTAATATTCTTGTACTTATAACAATTGCGATCGTTAAATATTTTGCTAAGCGCCAAACTTGCGAAAATTTATCTTTGAATCGATTCCACAAATTTTTTTTTTCGTTAACGTTTCAATATCTGAGACAGTTTAATTTTATTTGATATAATATATATTTTCAAACATTTAATTAATTGAAATTTTAGAAAAGTCGAAGTAAATATCAGTAAGTATAGCAAACCCTTTATTATCTTTTGATAGCTTGGCAGTCTATCCGACATGGGCATAGCATCAGTGGTCGCAAATATTGTTGTTGATTTTCGAGGAGTCCCCTGTTATGTCATACACATTTTGTGGTCAGACTTTGAGCAAAAGTCAATGGAATTACTCTAACACGTTTTTCAATGAAAGCGGATTTTTAAATTAGGAAACCAGTTGTAGTTATGCACTGTAAATTATAATATACTATATATTCATAAAACTTTAGTCAGAACTACCCAGAGTCTTTTCATCCATATTTTCACGTAACGTAGGTTATGAAAATTTTCATAGAAAAGGTCACCACCTAAAACTGTGCACGAGTTTCTCAAAAACTAATCCTCAGAAACACTTTCCAACAATCAAATCACAATGTGGAACAATCATATCATTATCATCAGCCTATAAGTGCTTACTGCTGAATAAAGGCCTCTGCTCACATGGAGAAGGTTTGAGCATTAATCACCACGCTTGCTCAAGGCGGATTGGCGATTTGAGATTCCAGGGTAACAGTTTGAGTCCGTTATGGTTCTGCTTAGCCCTGAATCCTCTAAGCACTTTACTGGAAGGCTCAGTGTTAGGATATCGGTTAAGAACAGGGGGACAAATTGTATCCCATCTACTTTAGATGGATGAATTTAAAGCTCTTTGCCCCGAACAATTCACATCTAACATCTAATGAGGTTACTGAATGCGACTGAAATGTTCAGTAATGCCATTGGGATGGACAAATGTACAGTAATGCATGTAAAGAGAGGGGAGATTGTGGAATCGAATGGAACACAAATAACTGATTCCACAAACTTCAAGTCCCTTTCGCCATCCGAGAGTTATAAATACTAGGGTATGTCAGAAGCGTTGGGCATCGATACTGCCGTCATGAAACAAACTTTGCGGGAACGTTTCTTTGGCTGCCTGAGGAAAGTTTTAAACAGCCGTTTTCCGGGCGGTAACAAGGTGCGTGCCTACAACGGTTTGGGTCATGCCAGTACTAATGTACTCTTTTGGCGTACTCAAATGGACTCAAACGGAATTAGATACCCTGGATAGAAAAGTCCGTTCATTGCTGACTCAGCATCGGATGCATCACCTACGATCATCGGTAATGAGACTGTACATCCCACGGAAATGTGGAGGAAGAGGCTTTTTAAATGCCAAAGCCCTCCACAATAGTGAAGTGTGAAGTCTCCGAAACTACTTCTTATAAATGGAAGTGGGGATCACCAAGATGTTGTCGCCGTGGACAAAGGACTTACTGCGCTCTCCTTAGCTAACGAGAATTGGAGAAAACTTGTAGTACTAAGCACGAAGGATCGTAAGGATGTGTGGCAAAGCAAAGAGCTGCACGGACGCTACTATATCTAGGGCTTTACATGGGCTAGAGGTAGACTTCTTAGCGTCCGTATCCTGGCTACGTTTTGGCAACTTATTTGGTGAAACAGAAGGTTTTGTCTGTGCAATTATGGATGAAGTTATGCTGACGAATAATTACCGAAAATATATTATAAAGGATGGTACGGCTGACATTTGTCGGGCATGTCATCGCCCAGGGTAATCCATCCGACATATAATTTCGGGTTGTTCTCACCTAGCTAATGGAGAGTACTTGCATAGACACAACCTTGTGGCCAGGATTATCCACCAGCAACTTGCTTTAAAATACAAACTTGTGGAATCTGAAGTGCCGTACTATAAGTATCTGCCTGACCCAGTTCTCGGGAATGGAGATGTCACACTGTATTGGGATCGAACTATAATCACTGATAGGACAATTGCAGCCAACAAACCTGACATTGTGATGATAGATCGATCAAGCCGTCACACAATGATAATTGATATAACTATCCCACATGACGAGAATATTGTGAAAGCTGCAAAAGATAAAGCAGGTAAATATCTTGATTTAGCTCATGAGATTGTCGACATGTGGGATGTAGACTCAGCAATCATTGTGCCGATGTCGTTTCTGCCAATGGTCTCATGGCTAAAAGCCTTGATAAACACCTAAGCAGGCTTACGTCAAATGGTTGGGTCAAGAATCTGATGCAGAAAGCTGTACTTCTAGACACGGCGCGCATTGTCCGGAGATTCCTTTCTCTGTAGCCCTGACCACCGGTTGCTTGGAAACCTCCCGTAACCGGTGAAATACTGCTTTTTATATTTTTAAGTGTCTTTCTTTTTTTTTGTGAAAATATTTAAAAATGTAAAAATTAACTTTATAAATCAATAAAGTAACCTACGCAGGTATTACAAGAAAAGTAATTATTTGAATACCTTGGAAGGCTTGACGTTTCGACCTGGTTGCACTGGTCGTGGTCGCAATCAGACTCGGCTTTCTAACAATCAAG